CCTCCTCCCACCTCCAGTAACTGCGATGCTCCTGCCTCTGGTGCAGTGCTCCCCCCACTACCTCACACCAGTGCTGTCTCTTCAGCACCCACTGTCCCTGAGCCCACGAGTCAACCCCCTTTCATATCCCAGTGGAGAGCCAGAGAGCCCCCACAGTTCCTGCACAGGCACTCAGCCTCTGAGCTGCCAACAGCCCCAGGTTCCTCCCCTCCACCCTGCCCAAATGGCAGGACCATCATGCCAGGCATCAAGCCAACCTCGCTGTCTCCACCACCTCTCCATCCCTCCCATTTTCCCTTTGCCTCTCACCAGCCTTTCAGGGCTTCTTCTCTTTCATGCTCTCCTCGGTCTTCTACTCCCTCCACCACAAATGCATCACCTCTGCAGAGAGGTGATGTCCTGCAGCCACGTGGTCCCACCATCCTGCCTGTGATTCCTGTCCCACCTGACAAGGTGAAAGGACCCACAGATAAAGCAGGTCAGGAGACCTCAGCAAATGTACCCCTGAATGGCCATCCTGAAGAACAAATTGCTCCAGGCCTCTCTGGGACCCAGGTGAAAAGTGTGGATGGATCCTTGTTTCCACACCTAGGAGCTGCACCCTGCTCCCTGCTGCCCACCATCGCCAGCCCCCCCAGCTCCTCTGGCCAGGCTCCTTCCCCATCCTCCCATCCTCGTCCTCCACAGCAGTGGTGTCAGCCCATGTCACACTGTCTTCCATTGCCTCCCTCTCACGCTGCTGTGTCTGAGGTGGCTATGCCCAGGAGGAACCCTCCTTACATCACTTCATCAGCCATTGCCCACTTGAGTAAGTACTGATTTTGAATGAGTTGCAACCTGTGTAAAGCTGTCAGCTGGTTATAAAGCCCCTTCGCACTGCCCAGGACCCTAGAGAAAGGGATGAGAGACCCAAAGGTACTTCTGCAGTAGATGATTTCTGAAACTGAGGTGGAAAAGTATCAAAATCACTCAGGACTTGTCCAGGGACTAGGCAAAAAGTCAGAATTACAGGACCAGGACCCTGTAGCTGGGCTGTTGCAATGTGTATTCTTACTGTAGTAGCCCATACAGAGACTTTTGTTGTTGAGCAGAGTCAAATTGCTTCCAAGAGCTTCATACAGAACCTATTTTCAGCTGGTCCAAACATAGTGGATGAGCTCTCCTGAAGCTGGAGGTCAGGTCTGTGGTAGACTTCTTGTCTGTCTAGCAATATTGGTTGAGGTTGTGATTTTCACTTTTTCTGAAGTGGTATTTCTGTTACCAGCAAAAGACCGAACACAGATTTTAAGTTACCCAGAATTGCCTGTGCTTGTGCAGCCTATTTAATTCTAGAAACTCTCTTCTTTGCATAAACTTCATTTGTAGTTCTGGGCTTGTCACTAGAACTATTCCAGCTAACCTTTCTCACTGAACACAAATCAGGAGCTTTGGTCTGGCCACTCTGCATATGGTCTTGATTTTGGTGCCCATCTAAAGCCAGTGGAGTTAGGGCAGTTGCAAGTAATGCCTATTTGTAATGCAGAGCATACATTTGTGACTTGGATCTATTAATGTTTATAACTAAAGGGATGTGCCTCGAAAAGGAAGAAATCGGAGACATTTCCTTTCACTTTCTGCTAAAAATATTACTGTAACCACTTGGAGGCTCAGTCCTTCAGCTGATATAAGTCCTTGAAATCCACTTAGCTCAATAAAGTTATTTTAAAACTCACATCAGTCCATTATTTTGACTCAGTTCAATTTTTGCCTCAGGCTGGTCTCTAATTAGGTGGGTGTAGTTTTGCAATTACAATTAACTGTACCCACAATGAATTACTAGCTATTATGCTCGTGAACGAGAGAGGGCTTGAAATGTTTAAAGTATTTCTAATAGCAGCTATGGTTCATTTCAAGAATGGAATTGGGAGTGTGAAATAATGGCAGGAGTAACCACAGAAATAAGGCAGGATTGTAAGAAACCCTAGATAAGGAGAAAAACAGGCTGTTAAATACAGTTTGCAAATGTTTCTCTAGTCAAAAGTCTCCTGTCTTTCAAAATAACACTTCCTGAACAACTGAACCTGTGATTATGTCCCAGGAGCAGCCTGTCCTGTCAGTGTACACCCTTGGGGAGGTGTATTTGTTCAACTGACCTGTTACAGACAGGTAAAACACTGCAATGGAACTACCACCATCAGTCCCTCCAACAGGCTGCTGCTGTGAGGAGCTTTGCTGAGCCGTGCAGTGCTTGGAGCTGGAGTTTGCCTGGTTATTTTGCAAAACTGGCTGGGCCACACAGCTTCAGTTTGACAGAAAGGAGGATGTGTTGCTGTGGCCCACAACTCTTGTGAAAAGCTGATGTTAAGCAAAGTCCATGGAGTTGGCTGATAGAGTTCATTATCTCCACGTAGAAAGCTATGGGAGAAGCAGAATGTGCCACCTAGGAATTGGGAAGTGTTGCCCATGCTTTGATTTTGGCACAGGATAAATCACTAGCCCAACCAGGGAGAAGAGGTGGAGAAGGTTAGTTTGTCGGTGACAGGATCTCACAGGAGGATGCAACTATAGCTGACTGACCATTGCTACAACCACCATTCCCCATTCTTCTGTGTGCTTGGTGCTTCCTTGCATTGACCACTTGTCCTGCAGTCAGGTCATGACCTTTGGAGTGGGAACGTGACCTTCTCTCTGGGCTGGAGAAGATCCTGTTTCACGTCTAATCCGTATTCTCTGCATTTCAGGCCCAGCACTTCCACCTGGTCACCCCAGTGGAGCTGCTGGAATCCCTGCTTCATCTGGGGGGCCCCCACCTCCTCCACCACCCCCAGTCCCTCCGCCACCCATGGGAGCTGCACCCCCTCCACCACCTCCACTGCCAGCGGGCGCCAGCCAAGGGGCTGGCACTGAAGATGGGTCAGTGTCAGGGCTCGCAGCAGCTCTGGCTGGTGCCAAACTAAGGAGAGTTCAACGGGTAAGGAGGTGGCACTGGGACACCATTATGGGCTCTTCTCTGCTTGGCAAAGCTTGGTGTAATGGTCTTCAAACCCAGTGTGACACATGGTGAAACAGGGTGGTGAGACACTGGCACAGGTTGCCCAGAGAGGTAGTTGATGCGCCAACCCTGAGTGTTCAAAGCCAGGTTGGATGAAGCCTTGAGCAACCTGATCTAGTGGAGAGATGTTCCTGCCCATGGCAGGAGGTGGTTGGGACTAGATGATCTCTCAGGTCCATTCCAACCCCTAAAATTCTACGATTCTTTGAAACATACTTCAGCTGACCATTAGGTGAGCTTTCAAATGTGAATTTGCAGTGCAAACTGAGTAGGAAATGTCTGGTAGAGTTTACACTCTTCAGAAAATGTTAGTTGGCAAATAACTGCAAGTTCTCACATTGCCAGGATATCATTACTTCAGCAAAGTCCACCAGTACTGCCTGTTAGCATTTTCAGTTGTTACAAGTGGTTAAAACTACACTATAATTAAAAAAAACCAGTGTAGACTGTTGAGGCCTCATGTCAATAGGTGTCCACTTAGGTAAGGGTTGCTTAACCATGCATAAACATAATCATGAACAAACAGCACTGTGGGGTTTTTCATCATTTGCCCATGTATTTGCCTCTCCCAGACCTTTCTGGGTTTTAATAATGTCCATGTGGGTCTCCTCCCAAAGGCAAAACACATCCTATCTCTGATTTTGGGCTGCGATTGTGATCACTGTTGCTAATAATTAGGAAAAGTGATCATTAAGGGTGTGGTTGTAAAGGAAACCTTTCATTAATTGCAATGTTGGTTTCTGTCTCTAGCCAGAAGATGGGTCAGGAGGGTCCAGCCCCAGTGGGGTCTCTAAGAGCGATGCCAATCGAACAAGTAGCGGAGGAGGCGGAGGAGGACTAATGGAAGAAATGAATAAATTACTGGCAAAAAGGTTTGTACTTACACTTCAAGTAAGCCCCATGAGGTCTGCAGCAAACTGTGGAACAAGGTGCTGTCATTTTGGGTTAGCAGTGGGTTACTTTGGTGCTTCTTTGCAGTTTGACAGGTCCTGCAGAGATGTCAGTCACCAGTGTTTCCTGGCCTGTAATATGAAAAGTGTTGCAGCAATGATACCTGGTTGAGTTTAGCTGCTGCAGCAAATCCTGCAGCATGGTAGCCCTCAAAGATGGTGATAAATATATCCTCTGGGCTTTTGCCATTTGACCAGATCGTGTTCAAAGTTACTGTTTGCAGGAAGAGTAAACTATGACAGGAACTTAGGCAAATCATTCTTTATGCAGCACATTCAGGATGTTGAGTCCAAAAATATAAACACAGGTGCAAGAAAAGGACAACAGCTTGGCAGGTAAATTATTATTGATTCTCAGTGTGTTTTGATCAGACTAGCCAAGTTATTCTCCACTAAAGCTAGTTGTGAAGTATCAAGCTACCAACTGTTGAGGCACTCATTTTTTGCAATTATTTTTTTGTTCTCTTTTCCCCTGATTCCATCAGTAATGTTCCGTCAGACTCCCAAGTTCCTAGTGTTAGATGCTTTATTTTTAGATCTAATTTTTTTTAACTGATGAATAGAGAAAGAAAAGGATGAATAAAACAATGAAGGGTAGGTACAGTTGCAGAGTGCACAGAGATGGAGATTTTAAATAGTGTTGTCTAGTATAAAGACAATTCCCAGCTCAAAGGATCTGATCACAACTTCCCTACTTGTCCTGTTCATTTCAGAAGGAATTATGCACATGGGCTGTGGATCTAATCCTCCGAAAAGTATTAAATAAATACACAACACTCAAAAAAATTCCCAGAGTATAACATAGCAAATAGAAAATTTTCATTCTTTTCAGAATTAAAATAGCTTAACAGCTTTTAATAGTTATTTACTGGTTCTTGGGCTGCTACATATCAAGACTGACCTAACTGAACTGGAAGTTGTCTGTGGGTGAAGTGACGTGCAGTGACTAGATCCTGGGGTAACTAGCTCTGTTCAAACAAGCTGAATGGACATTTCATATGCTTGGATATAGAAATCCTACACATTTGTGTGGTTCTAGTCTAAAGTGTACTCCAGTCTGGCTTTAGGCAGTGGGATCTGATGTCTTCAGGTATTCAGGGTCAAATTCCCCCAGTATCTTTTGTCAGCACTTGCACTACATGAACACTGTGCTGGCTCTGCTCTGAAAATAACTGAGCTGCCAATCCTTTCCCAGGGACTTGACAGCAACAGAATTGTCCCCTACAATTTTGCTTGATGGAAGTAGCTGGAAATACACAAGTGGCAGTCAAGGGTGCAAGGTGGGCACATGGTTTTATGCTGATGCTGAGAGGACTTCTTTGGGCTGCAAAGCTCTTTTTATGTGTGATGACACAAGAAGGGAAGAACCTGGCACTGTGTTTCAGGTTGTTCTTACCTGCCTTACTTACCTACTCTCACCAGGAGGTACAAAAGAGCATGTTCAGTACAGAAATCACAGTGTAATGAGCATGGGATCTCAGGGGCCCTTTTCTGAGCAGTAAACCCCATGCTCAGAGACAGGGAATGTGTCTAATGCTCAGTAAGTAATGAAGGAAAACACTTCAGAGAGCTCAGGTGCTATAAAATACAGCTCTCTAGATATAGTGGCCCCCATGAGAACAGCCCTTTGCCTCAGGACTGAAGTGCAAGCAGAATAATGAACTTACAATCCACTATCATTTCCAGCCCAGTTAAGTTTGTTGCAGGACATAAATCTAACAGTCATCTCTGGCAAATATTTCCCTCACTTAGATTTGTAACAATTATAAACCTTCTTTTTTCTCA